AGGGGCTGGGATTCAGTAGACTGAACAGAAATCCATCCCCCAGTGTGAACATCAGAGAACTCAGGAAAGACAGAAGCAGACCCAGGTGCTTGTGTAAGAGCAGCCTGGTTGGCATAACCTGCCCCTAGGAGCCTTACTGTGTTTAGCATATTGCTACCTGATTGAAATTGGCTCTAAACATGCCCAAGGTTGAATGGGAATGGAGGACATTATTGTATTTAATTATTTCTCTAGAACAAAAATGGATTCTAGCAACAGCTTTGAGGTGAAGCAACAGCAGAGCAATTAGAGTTTTGAAGCTCGCACGCAAACATTTGAATGTGCAATCATTGTAATAAGTACATTAAAATAAAATAAGTCAAAGGGTTGCATTTGCATAAATAACCCAAGGTGAGGGAGTTGGATTGGTTAATAATAAAGGGACGTGACTAGTTAGTCATAATGGAGAGTAATAACCCTTCTGTACTCTTGGTAGAAAACACCAGGAAAGAGAGAGCCAAGGCGTCGTGTTTAATGTAGAGTTACCAAGTTTGGGTCTGTTGCTCATTTTTCCTTCTGCTTTGGGTGGCAGGCATGTTCCAGAAGTTTCACACACATTCACCCTCACTGAAATCCCCATGAGGTAAATATTATGCCCCCCATGTTCCAGATGAGGAAAACTGAGGTACAGAGTTTGAGTTTTCACTAACCAGCAGCATGAGCTTGGTTATCTAACCTCTGTCTGCCTTAGTTTCCTCCCCTTAATTAACTCATGCTTCTTGCTCCACTGAGTTTCCCAAAAGATGATTTGAAGTGCCAGAGCATAGAGGCTCGTGGGTGCTGGGCATCTTGTGTGGATCAGCTGGAAACTTCCCATTTTTGGCTGTTGTATAGGGTACAGAACAGATCTGGATTGCTGGGAGGAGGAGCAGTCAAGTTCGCTCCTGTATTAATTGAGATAAGCTAGACTGTGCTGCAGTAACAGAGCCGTCAAATTCAGTAACTTTCAGTAGCAGGAGTTAATTTTGCTTATTGAGGTTTGGTGGCATCTGCTCCACACCGGTTTCTCTCAGGGAGACCGGACTTTCATCATCAGGCGTGAGAGAGGGGCTGCTGAGTCAGCTTTCTGTCACTGAAACAAAATACCTGAGATAACTTAAAGGAGGAGACACTTGTTTTGGGTCGTGGTTTCAGAGGTGTCAGTCCGTGGCTGGTTGAGATAGAGAGGTGCCCAGTATCCCCCTCAAGGGCACACCCCCAGTGATGTAACTTCCTCCTCCTGGCTCTACCTCCTAAAAGTTCTACCACCTCCCTCCACCCAGTAGTGCCCCAGGCTGGTGAACAGGCCTTTGACATCTGGGCCTATGGGCTGAATAGCATGCTATGGGTACAGGATATGTCGCCTTGTGCCCTGGCTCCTGCCGTAGGTCATGGCCCGGCAAGTAGCTTGGCTGTGTCTATAAACGGGGGTGTATGATTTTATCATGTGCTTAGAAAGAAGGGAGCTGAATATTTGCGAAGGCTTGCAATTGAATGCCACCCCTGCTCCTTCAAGCCCTATCTGTACACAGGGCTAATGTGCAGAGAGGAAGATTCCCATCCATGCCCCACGTGGAGAGAGAGCTAACTGCCCCTTGGCTGCCTCTCAAACAGCAACGGCTCTGTAGAACTAGCAAGTTTGAGAACCAGACGGGTGCACATTCACTGCCTCCTCCAGATGTCTTTGGTCAAACTGCTTAACATCCCAACCTCTTTTCTGTCCCGCTTCTATGTGATAGAAGGACAGTAGTAACTTCCGTGAAATCTGTATCTGAAGATAAGGGAGGTTAAGGGCTCAGCACAGTGTCTGGCACATGGTGCATACTGGAGAAGTAATAGCATCAAGCCCTGGCTGAGTGAGTGCTCTGTAAAAATTCTGGGGCAGGTGTCGGTGTCCATTGAGTAGTACATGGTGCCTGGCTTGTGCTAAGGGCTGAGAAAATGAATCTGAGAGGCTACCTGTGATTGAGTCTTCAAGCATATCTGGATAAAAAGGAGAGGAAGAAGATTCTCACCAGGGTGTCTTCAGTGTCTAGGAGCAGAAGGTCCTCTGGGAAACCTCCTAGAGATACCACGTATCTCTGTGGGGAGGTTAGAAAGACAGAACGGGAAGGTCCTCTGATTCATGGGTCCAGGAGGACGGTAGGCACTCTGTATCCCTGCTTCCCTTCCATTGATTCAACCAACCATGATTGAAAATTTTGTTCATGTCATCATTCCCTAAACAAACAGCTTATAAGGTTTTGTAATTAATCTAGAGATGGCTTCAGGTACACAGGATATGAGGATATAGATAAGTTAATGCAAAATGATGGCATTTTATATAAGGGATTTGAGTCCCTGTGGCTGTTGGGGTCCTGGAATGAATCTCCCGTGGGTGCCAAGTGGCAACTGTAATAGCAGCCCTGCTACCTGAAGACCCTACGAGGACTCAGCCCTCACTTCTTGGTTCTTTTCCTTTTGCTGCCTTGTTGCCTGTAGCTTCTGTACCTCTTGCTCTAGAGTGGTCCCTGCTTACTGTCTGTCCACTTTGTCTCCATGACAACCACAATATGGTAGGCCACTGGCCACCTTGAGACAGCTGAGTTACGATCACCATTGGATAGTAAATCCATTTAGCTGAGTGGGTGTAAAGGGGGGAAGGGCCACATCTTACAGTTACAAAGTCAAGCTGCAGTGCTTATGGGGACAGACTGATGATGGAAAATGTGCTCTGTGGCTTCTCTGAAGTTCATGTTGTACCTGGAAATCCAGAGTCTGTGGTCTGTCTGGTCTGATCAGGTTACCTCGGGCAAGTCATTTGTTAGAAGATACTTAGCTCTCCATCTGTAAAATAAGAATAATGATAGCAACTAACTCAGAGGGTCACCACGAGGTATCTCAGTGTTACTTGTTATTCTCATGGCTTTCACCAAACAGGAGAAATTGGCGCTCAATGCCAAGGGGAGATGGGCAGAGGCCAGAAGGGGGCAGCCATGTGCATGGCTTCTTCTCCATCCCCGTGTGAGCCAAATGAGGACCCTAAGAAGAGAACAACTGGACCAGATCCAGAAGATGTGGGCCTTTTATACCCTCTCTTATAGAGCAGAGGTCTGCATACTTTTCCTGAAGGGCCACAGACATAGTTTATGCTGCACAGGCCAGAGAGCCGGTCCATCACCATTATTCATTCTGTAGTTTTAGCAGGAGACAGCCATACACAATACATAAGCAAGCGGGTATGGCTGTGTTTCAATAAAACTTTATTTATAAAAACAAGACTTGGGCAAGCTTTGGGCCGTGAGCTGTAGTTTGCTGTCCTGGTAAAGTGGCCGCATTGCTGAGTACTGGTGGCTGTCTGGGACCAGCGCAGCTACGCTGTTCACCCTCCCATTCTTCCTTGGGAACTATTAAGAGGCACATTTCGGCGTCCTTGAAAAAGAAAATCAAGTGTTTCTACTCATCCCCAGTGTGCCTCAGCATCCGGGCAGTTATGTTCTCTGTGCCTTGAGTTCCCTCTAGGAGTGTGCTCTGGGATGGTGGATACCTTTTAGGTTAGAGGCGTGGGAATGAGGTCAAAGCTAAAGCAGCATGCTTTGGAAAAAGTCATCCCAATTTACTGTGTTGACTTGGCATTGTACAGAAATGGACAACCATATTGGTCTAGAAATATTAATTTATTTTTATTTTTATTTTTAATCTCCAGAATTAAGACCATTTTCATGTCCAGAATTAAGGATTATTTTAATGTTACATCATTGCCTTTTCTCTTTACTTTCCTTTTTAGTTTTAATTTAGGATTCCCTATTTTTAATGTTCATACAGAGATTTCTTTAACTGAAATACCGAATAGTTTCTTTGGTGTGAAAAAGTATAATAGTACACAGGATCCTAATGAGATAATTAATAATGTGAAATAGGAAGTAAAGGGCTAAAGGTGTAGGGAAAGTGGGAAGGGTGGGGGAAAGGTAATAAGGGAGAGGAAAAAAATATGAGAAACTGAAAAAATGGAAATAAAGTGTTTCTAAATGGGGAGGGGAGGAGGGGGTGAAGGGAGGGCAGGGACAAGGGGAAAAAATGAGGATCAAGACCTATTATGTAAAGGTACAGAATCCCAGTGATGAATGTAATTGTATTGTATACCTAGATTGTACCAATAAACTCAATAAAAGGAAAAAAAAAAAAAACAAGCTAAAGCAGCATGTTTCAGAAATGAGTCAGAGCATTTGATCCGAACTCAGAATGATCAGGACCTGGCTCCCCATGCTAGAGCTGAATGTGAGATTCCACCCTTCTGGAAAGCTCCAAGCCATTCATTGTCTCCAGTGCCTTCTGTCCTTTCTCTTGACCCCAGGTGACTCCATAAGTTGTTTTCCAAGTCCCAACATCCACGAGTGCCACGGGTTGACACCCTCCTGCGGGCTCACTGCGGGGTTCATGCTGTACAGGCTGCCTCCCTCCTCTCCTGAAAAGAGTAACACCAGTGCTGTCTTTGCTACAGAACTGTCAATGGCTCAAGTCTGGTTTCTGTCACAGGCACGGATATATGAGCATGTCCTAAAGGCAGTAGGATGGATATACTATCCCACCCATATTTCCTCCCTTTATAACTTTACTATGCCATTTCCAGCCCCTCAATAAACCATCACAGCACTTTCTGCTCAAATTCAAACAGGAATCTGGAGCAAAGTATTTGCTACCCAGTGGTAGAGATGTCTGGTGAAAGCAAAGAAGTTGAAAATCATAGTAACAGCGCTAGTCATTGAGAACTTGAGAAAAGTCTTAGTTCCTAGCAGAAGCATTTCATGTGTCCAGGGGGAAACGGGTCCAGAGAGAAAAGTCTTTCTAGAATTTAAGCCGATAGCAAAGGCAGGATGGGAAGCTTCAGCTCAGACTTCCAAAATTGTGTGTCCCCCACCCCTGCCCCCAAAGGGCCAACCAACTTACTTAGCATGATGGCTCAGTCCGGTTTCTCTTCTGCATTTCTTCCCTGTGCTCTCCAGGATGGCTACCTCTCTCACCGACCTAAAGAGAAACTGCGTACAGACAGCAACAATGAGAACTCAGTCCCCAAGGATTTTGAGAACGTTGACAACAGCAACTTTGCACCCAGGACTCAAAAACAGAAACACCAGCCAGAGTCGGCAAAGAAGCCCCCGAGTGGACAGAAACACCGCTTGCAGAGGAAGTTAGAGCCACAGGACAAGGGGCAGGGACATTCCATCGTGGGGAAGGGCCCCACTGAGGTGCTGCCTCCTGGTGAGAAGGCTGCAGCCAACAGCAGCCGTGGGAAGGATGCTCCCAGACAGCCCCACGCCAGGAAGAGCGGCGGCAGCTCTCCCGAGACCAAGTATGAGCAGCCACCCAAGTGTGACATCTCGGGCAAAGAGGCCATCTCTGCCCTGTCACGCTCTAAGTCCAAGCACTGCCGCCAGGAGATCGGGGAGACCTACTGCCGCCACAAGCTGGGGCTGCTGATGCCTGAGAAGGTGACTCGGTTCTGCCCCCTCGAGGGTAAGTTCCAGCCCCACTTCCTGTTCCCACCTAGCCCCATTCTGGTCCATTTTCAGATATCCTACCAGATCAAAGATAGAGAACAGTTGGTCTGCATCTTCAATCCCAGACTGGGACGCTAGATCTGATTTGTTGGGTGTACTCTGTAAATGCTCAAGTGCGCTCTAAGCCAAGTTTCACATTAACTTTTGTTGGTGCATTGCCTTTATGGTAGAGGATAAAATTATAATGGAAGCTGGGCTCGCGTGAAAGTTGCAGAGGGAGGTGACTGTATCAATAGGGTTCGGCTTTTCTCCCAGCAGAGAATCAGGATTAGCATTGACATGAATGACACTGGATGGGACTGGGAACGTTTCCAGTGGGCTGCATGGACCTCGGAGCCTCTGTAAGAACAGTCTCCTCTATTTTCCTATTTCTTCCTTCCTTGCTCCTCCCTCCCATTTTTCCTTCCTATATCTTGCCTTCTTTCTCTGCTTTATTTCTTTCTGTCCTTATTTCCATCCTTCCTCCCTCCTGCCCTGTGTGTAGGTAACCCAGGGACGAATTGGATCTCTCGCTGAGTTGCGGGGCACCCTCAGAGCTCAGTGGAGGATTCACAGGGTTGGGTGTAGCGGGCCCTAGAAGATGGGACGAGCCTTCCGCATGTGAGCATCACACGTATTTATCTCCCATGTAGAACAATGCGGAGCCGTGGAGGCCTTGGTGGTGACCCTGGCCTTCCCTGGTGCCCGTGGGAGGGAGGATGAGGGGCAGCAGGTGCTGAGTGTCACTGTGTGCTGGGCACTTCGCAGCTTAGTGCATCCTCATCCTCACCCGTGAGGCTGGTATAGAGACCAGAGCCCTAAGTATTTTCAGATGAGGCATGGGAGAGCGGTGCTCCGAGCTCACATCAGTTAGATTGCACATTGAGACGTCCGGAGAGACATAGGTGCTAGCACGGATTAAGCCTAGTTTTCTAGAGATCCCTCCTTCCTCCCGGAACACATAGATATCAGCAGAAAATGTCTCACCACCCCAGAGTAGGAAGGGCCTTCGTGTGCTGTCATCCGGCTGTGTGATCAGCCCTTAGTCACTCGCCGAACGCACATGCCCGGCTTCCCCTCCCCATCCCTGGCTTAGCATAAGTCGACCTCCACAGCCCTGGAGAGTTGGATTTCTCCTTAGAGAAGTCCTTCTCAGTTTGTAATCGTTTCCTCAGTGACTGAAAGGGGTGCATTTTGTTTCCATTTTTCCTTGTTTTGTACCTTTTCTTTTCCCTTATTTCCTTTCCCCTGTCCTTCCCACTTCCAACGTTTGAAATGGCAGGCGCAGCAGGTCCTCCTGTCCCTTACAGAGCAGCCAGAGGTTCAGAATACCTCATTGTTTCTAAATCCAATGACCACAACTGCTTTGCTTTGCTCCTAAGTGAGGAGAAAAGATCCCAGATCATCGCTGAAAGGAAGAGATGACCGGGAGCACCTAGGGGAGGACGGAGAAGGGGAACACGGACCAGGATGGTGGGTTGAGGCCAGCAAGTGGAGCAAGAATGAGCCCAGGGAGGTGCTGGGTCCTCTTCAGTGTCAAGGCAGAGGTCAGCAGTAGAGTAAGCCAACCACAGAACGGGGGCTCTCGCTTCTCCGCTAGGTGTGGGCATTCAGAAACCAGGCCAGGCCTTGCCCAGTGACTCCCTGAAACAGCAGATCCTGGGTCCTCTGTCTCTGGATACAGAAGACACCTGTCTATGGGTGTGTGGTGAACAGGGCTCCCCAGGACAAGTAGACTCAGAAACCCACTATGGAAATTACTAGTTCACTTGCTTCACTGGGAAGATGACAGTGTGAGTCTATATAGGGGGAAAGACTTAGGCAAGTTCTTTCATTAGAGACTTCCTCATTTCAAACACAGTCCTCCTTTGTATCCATGTGTTCCCCCTTCATGGATTCCACAAACTGTATATTGAAAATATTTTTAAAACTTTTCTCATCTATACTAGAGATTTATTATTTTCCTAAGCAATATGGCAGTATTTGCATTGTATAAGGTATTATAAGTAATCTTGAGATGTTTTAAAGCGTACAAGACAATGTACATAGATTGTATGCAACCACTACACTCTTTTAGACAAGAAACAATTTGTGGGTTTTGGTGTCCTTGAGGGGTCCTGGTACCAACCATCCATGACACAGGGACCCTTGTCTGGATCTTTGTGTTTATCACTAGTCACGGGATGGGAGGCTCAGATCAGACCGAGTGACTAGAGAGGGAGTTAGAGGGGCACACAGCAAACCCTTCTCATGTCCCCTCTTCAGGGACAGTGCACCAGGGGTCAACTTTGACATTTTAATGAAGCTCGTGTCTAACTTTGGCCCAGTGCCCGAGAAGATTTGGAGGCCTGAGTTGAATGCCCGTCCAGGAGAATGACTGGGCTCCCACGATGCTCTGCGCAGAACCACATAGTCAATATTTGAGTCCTTGGGGGCCATAGAGTCTCTGTCACCACTCACTCCTGAATGTGTTGTAGTAAAAATACAGACACAAAAATACTTGGTTAGATTCTGATGAAACAATTTGCAAATGTAGCCCATGGGTCGGGCTTGGCCTAGAATCCATAGTTTGCTTCCACCTCTTAAATACCAATGCTATATGTACTCATGTTCCTGCATTTGTACTGGAATGACATCCAGATAAATCTACCCCTGTACCATTAAGCTGGAAATGCATCTTATGTCCCTAATCTACCAATCGTCAGCACTTAAGCTGGCCTATATTCACCATACTCAAAACTCTCACATTAGCCCAGACTTGTGCGAATTTATCTAACACAAAGCCTGCTTTGTAACAACATTTTGAATAGCTCATGTCACTGATTGAATATTGAACTGAAACCAAAGAACAGAATGGTCATCCGAGCTCATTTTTGCACCATCCTTGAGTTAAAAAATCTGAAGTCAAAGCATCCTACGGCAGGGGCCATCTTTAGGAGTACATGGACCACCATATCTTATCTCACTGAATCCTCATGTGAGCCTGGTGAAGTAAGTTTGTTAGGAGCCCATTTTGCTCCAAGAGCCTAGGTTAGTGCTGGCAAACCTATGGCATTCAGGCTAAAGCAGGCTGCTTGTTTCTTGAAATCTCTTAAGGGTTCACCATCACTGGTCTAGACTTCAGCCAGGAACACATGGCTAATACATGGTCAAGCTGGTATTAGAACTCAGGGTATGGAGCCTGAATCCCCACAAGTCTGTTTCTCTTCAGCGGGAAGAGGTGTAGCTTAAGCCAAGTTGTCAAGCCCCAAGCAGTGCCCTGCCTGCTCCTGTGCCTGCTCTGTCCCGGCATGATTTGAAGGAGGGGAGGGAGGGCACTAGTAGAGGGAGCAAGGGTGCCAATTTTGACAACAGGAGCATGGCTATGAAGCTGGGTTACCTGAATTCAAGTCCCAGATCTCCCTTGCATAAGCTGTTGGACGCTGAGTAAGTCGCTTGACCTCTCTATGCCCTGGTGTCTCCACCTGCAAAGGGAAGGCAAACACAATCTACTTATCTCAGAGGGTTTATGAGGGCTAAGTACTCAGTTAAGAACCATGCCAGGCCAGTGATATGCTTTACATCAAGTTGCAAGACCTGCTCTGCAACTATCCACAAGCATAAAAAAGTCAAAATGTCATCGCCATGAACCAGAGTCTGCCACCTTTTCCTGGTTCTGCTGAGATAGCTCCAGTGGGGTTTTGCAGTGAAAGTCTGCTGGGGCTTCCCTGAGGCATGTGATGCCTGGCCCAAGGTGCCACGACCTCCGGGGACCTCTGAGCCGGTTAATAAGACTGGCATTTAGGAAGCGTTGCACACCCAGCCCCAGCGATGCTTTAATTTGCTGCACCATAGCTTCCCCCTTTTGCAATAAATTTACTGTGAATAGACTAATTGCAAAATAACTCTAATTGGGTAGTTATCAATGAACAACTTCCCGTGGAACAAAACGGCTTGCAATTAATAGCATTTAAGCCATAAACTATTCTTCTGCACAAAGCTAAGATGTAATTACACCCCATAGGGAGACTGTGTTCCCTTTCTGGAAACCATGACACCCGGAATTCCCTCCGCTTAGGAGGGTTTTGAGCTTCAGCCCAGTGGTCCTTTTATTGCTTGTGAGGTGAGGAAGTGGAGGCCGGATGGAGGGAAATTTGGTACACGAGTAAATCTCCCACTGCACATGTGTCCCACACATGGAGGGACACACGGTGTCTGCCATTTTGCCTAACTCAGCATCTGACACCAAAACTTCAGCCTGGAATGCGCCGGAATTAGCGTGTAGGGAAGGAGACAGCCCCTCGGGTCTGACAGTCTGAAAATTACAGAGCAAACAGGTTTTACACCGTGACTTTTGAGAAAGGTTTCTGCACCAGCCCGCCCAGCACCACCCACCTCATGGTCCATTCCCACTCAGCCCAATGGTGGAGGGTACAAGCCCCGAACACGACTCGCTTTCTCTGAGACATCCTTGGCCCTCGTGACTCTTCTCCTTCGTTCTCTGTCTTCTGGAGCAAGCAGTTTGGAAGGAGATGAAAGGAAGCTACGATGGCGCCTGTTTTCACGGGGCGAGGAGGGACCTGCAGACTGTCCGCTGACATCCATACACAGACAGAGTCCCTGGAGGTTTTCTAAGGAGGCTCTGTCCTTTCAGCCCCCAGGGATGGCTTCAGAGAAGCCGCAGTAGCCCCACCCCAACCCTGGGCTCAGGGTAGCCACCAAGCTGTCCCTACCACCACCACCATACATCCACGCCCAGTCGCCTTGGCCTGCAGAACCACCCTGGGGCCTTGGGTCGCTCTACCAGGGTCTTCCCACGTCTCGTGGAAGTGCAACCACGCCAGGTTGAAGGTCAAAGGTGGTCTGCGGTGGAAGAAGGCATTTTCCATGCAGACATCTCTGTCCACCTGGGTATGCATCTTGGCTCTGCCTTCACTAGCTCTGTGACCTCCACCTCAGGTGCCTCTGTTTCCTCACCTATAACATGGACACAGATAG